ATCCCCAGTAAAGACATTCGCAGTCTCAGCGAAAACACTGGGCCATTGAAAGCAGAGGGGCAGTGTCCACATCCCGCTCTGCCAGTCCAGTCTGGGCGAGGTCATTCGCCTCAGTGACAAAGTTCTCCTTGCCATCCTCCACATATCTACGCAGTCGGCTCGAAAGTCTGGTGATGTCCGAACCACAGTCCACTCGCGTGATCGCGGCAGCCATTTCGCGACGCACTGGGCCACTCCGGCCGAGGCGATCCAGGCGGAGAAAGTTCACTCTCATTCTTGCTTGCTTGCTTGGGGTATGGGAACCCTGTAGTTCCCTGCCCCGAAGGTTCACTCGCATTCTCTCACTCTCTCTTTGTTTGGTTTTGGGCTCTTCAGGCAAGCCAACAGTTCACATGACAGTCATGACATGCAGTCGCACTCAACACTGAACACAGCGATCTGCATTGACATGTGACATGCATTCGTTCAAGAAGATGCAATCACTGCAATCGAAGCGACTGACCCACACAGTCCCTCAGCGTGGACTTCAGTCCAGCGGCGTCCAGAGATACACGTACAGTGCATTCATTCGCGAGCACGAGGGCGGGGCGCCCAGGGAGCCATTCCCAGTCCCACGCAGGGCGGCAACATGATCATCAAGATCATGAGCATCAGTGGTGGCATTCTTCTTGAATCAATTCGAAACCACTCGCAAGTGGGTCTGCAATCTTGGCAGCACATCAGTGGCAACATATTTTGTCATTAGATCTGCGGGGTTCCGCGCCGTCAATCTTAGCCATTTTGAGCAAGCCCACTTGCACAGGACTTTGCACATACAGGAACCTCAGTTCCCCATGCTTTGTCTTCTTGCCAGTGCCAAAGCGGGTTGTCATTGACTTGTCGGCAGTCTACGCGGGCAATCACACTGACTTTCTTCGCCAGCTTAGCTTCAAGCAACATTGACGCAAGGAACAGCGCCTCAGACACTCCTTGGCCAATCGCATACAACTCCGCTTTGCCAGACGACAAGGCCAGTGTGCCCTCGCAGCGCTGGCACTGGTTGGCCAGTCTCATTCAGCAACACTTCCTCAGATAGTTGAGACATGAACGATGTCCTCATTTCGTCCGTCCCTGCGACCAACAGATCATCGACATACGCAAGCACGTACAGTTTGCCAGATTCATGGCAACACAGGTCCGGATCACTTTTGCATCTCCTGAATCCCAATTTCGAGGTGATTACCTCGGCGAAATGTTCTTGCCAAAGTTTGGGTGTCCGTTTTAGGCCGTACATTGCTTCTTCCGTTTCCAGAGGCATTTGCCGCCATCTGGATACAATGCTTTCGGCGGCCAAACGAACACTCACTGAACATTGCTGCATGCAGGAAGGCAGCGCTGACATCACCAAGAGCGACACCCCAGTTTCTTGCCATTGCCATGAAAAGCAACAATCTCATTGTGACAAGCGAGGGTGTCGACGCAAACAGATTATCTTCTTCATTCTTCTCAACATTCCGAAAAGACCCACGCACAACCCCTCTCTGCACCTTAGGTCATTCTCATCTTTCCAGACCTTAACCCATCGACAGTCAAGTGCTTCATCAATCTGTTTTTGGGCGAAGGCCTCAGCCTTCACTTCATCACACACACGTCGAAGTTCTTCATTGGCATCATCTCCTTCATAATTTATTTCTTCTCTGCCTCAGGAGCGAATTCACTCACCCATAGCAGTGGCTCTGAGAGCCGCATGTCTTGGTCGAGTTATCCTTCCTCGGCATTCACTTCGACATGAATCCTTGTGTCCTCGTACCAACCTTTCCTTTCCGACGATCAGCATCAGGATCAATCCTGGCAGCGGTGCTTCATCACCTCCGCAGTCTCGGCAGTGGGCGCAGGACCCGTGCCAGCATTTTCAAGCAACTCTTGCGCAGTCACAGTCTCACTCGGACCCAGGACCATGTCTTCAAGCGCTCCCCCTCGACACGTTCCAATGCAGGAGGTGGCTTCACTCTGCCTTTCACTCCAACTTGAGGTGGCATTACAAAGGCAGTCGAATCCATTCCATCTCGTTTAGGCTGCTGAAGACACCATTTGCATTCCCAAGGATAACCTCATCAGCTTCAGTGTCCTTTCCAAGGTACACTCCAGAGAACCATTGAGATCCTCTTTTGGCAAATTTCATTTTCTTGCTGCGCGGCAACTTCGCATCAACCCACAGTGATCCACCGTAGTCACGCGACCACCTTCGGTTGTAGGCACTCTTGCATACTCTTGCCATCAGACCCAACCATTGACAGCCATTGTGACTGCTTCTCGACTTCACATCCATGTCCCTGTAGGGCAGGTGTGTCAACGCACCCCTATGCCATATGCACCCACGCAGACATTCCTTTATGCGACCAAGCCAGTCTTGTCCAGTCTTGAGTGGCGTCATAGCATTCGAGAATGCATCATCTTCCTTGGGTGAATTCTAGGGCTAGGGCTATGGGTCGTGTCATACAACAGACAGACAGACAGACAG